TGTCTTACGCTGCTGAGTTCTGGGCGATTTGTTGGCATCAGTAGATGACTGGGTCCCATGGTCCCCCGCCCTTGCCAGATGGTGGTTGGTTGGGCACGTGACCCAGTGTGGGCCAATAAGACATGTGGCGGAGTCCTCTGGGAAAGCTGCCGTCTGGGTTCCCGAGAAGGCGGCACAAGAAGAGACTGCCCTTCTCTCTCTTCTGCTGCGTTGCGTCTTGATAAGACTTGAACTGCTACCAACCTTTTGCTATCGACCTGAGGACAAAGGCAACTCCGAGGACAGCACAGCGGAGACATGGAAAGACCTCGGGTCCTTGAGGGCATCACCGAGCTACTGCATTAACAGACCCCCGAGCCCACACCTTCTCCTGGCTCTCCTGACGTGAGTGAAGATTACACTCACCGCCTAAAGCAATTCGAGTCACAGTGTTACTTGTTGTCGGAAGTGTCCTCTCTGTTGCAGGGTGGAAACCAGAAGCCAATCTCCACCAGCTCTGAAAAGGGAGGATCTCAAGGCCAAGGTCAACAGGCAATGGAGTGTCAGCTGTTTCCCCAGAACTGCTCCTCCTGCTGGTGAGGAGAGAGCTGGCAGGGAGTCCCTCCTGAGCCGAGAGCAGGTTGAGCAATTCGGGAGGGCAGGGCCGATGATGGGACAAGTCAGCTAAGCTTGGGTCATAGACAGGGTGACTCAGCCAGCTCTCAGCCCCGAGTCGGCGTGTCTTCTCCACCAGGAACCATCAGAAACCCCAAGTAAATTCTCACATAGGCTTCTCCTTCCCAGGAAAGGAAGCCTGAGGAGGCCACTCGTTTTGTGGATGGAGGACCCGAGGCTCAAAGGGGGCCATGGGCTCACCCAGGGGGAGTGGTGGCTCCGAAGTCCTTCCTTTTGCCTGCAAGATGTTGGCTGGGACTTGGCAAAGGAAGCTGCAGGTCACGTCCCCAAACACTCAGCCCACCTGGGTGACCAGCCAGCGCCCTACCTGCGGGTCTGAGGAGGAGGCTAAGCCTTTCACATCAATTCCAGGGTGAGCTTCTCCAGGGAAGCCATCACTTCCTTCCTCTAAGTGGACTCCCATCTCAAAACTTCCGTCTACCAATAGACACAGACACAGACACAACCACATCTTGGGTGCCTTTCAGCAGGGAAGCATCTTTTCTGCTCTCCATTGGACATGGAAGTGGTGCTTCTTGATCTTGAATCTGCTCTTGAACCTCTGGAGTTGGCTGAACTAGGGCCTCACTCCCCATAATGTGGTCAGGGGAGCAGGCACTGGCTGGAGAAGCCATTTTCCCCTCCCCCCAGCTCAGAGGAAAGAATGGGACCCCTCCTGCTGCTCTGGGGGCCTGCCCTTTGCACTCAATCTTGTTCTTTCTTGGGGTCCTCCAAGTATCTGATCTTGTATCTAAATTCCATATTCTCTGGGTTGTTGTCCAGGAAGGAGGCAGGAGATGCAGGGGTGAGGGAGCCCACACTTGAGATTGGTTAGGTTTTGCTTGTAAAGCCAACCACCTTCAGAGCTAGAGGCAGAGTCTGAGGACAGAACCTAGGGATGATTTTATCCAACCCCTTCATAAACAAAGGAAAAAGTTAAGTCCCCAATTCCTGGGGGTCTATGTCCTGGCTATGGGGCACCTCCCTCTACCCCATGGGGAGTGTCAAGCCTGCAGGTGGTGGCTGCTGAGCGCGAGGCTGGCTGAGCCCACACTGCTCCAACCCTGCATTTGGCAGAATCCACTTGTTCATCCACTTCTGCACCCACTCAAGACGTGGAGTGTTTGTGTTCCAGAAGCTAATTAACTTCCTAAGGGTCATATTAGCATATGAGAGTGTGTTCACTGAGTTTGGTATAAAAATCAAGACTGGGAGAATTGCAAATGGGCTCTCTGTGCTCACCAAGCAGATGGCCTCGGCCAAAGAAGCAGCCTGGGAGGGCACAGAGCCTGGGTGTGCTGACTCCCCACACCCCCAAACTCTACACCAACCCTGCAGTTCTTAAGGTGGAATGCCATTTCCCTTGTTTTCCTCTGCCCTTTATCCACTTATGATGGTTAATTATATGTGTTGACATGGCTGGGCCATGGTGCCCAGGTATTTGGTCAAACATTATTCTATTCTAGGTATTTCTGTGAATTTTTTGATGAGGTTAACATTTAAATCAATGGACTTTGAGTAAAGCAGATTGCCCTCCATAGGCGGGTGGGCCTCACCCAATCAGTTGAAGGTCTGAGTAGAACAGACTGACCTCTCCTTTGCAGAAAGGAAATCTGACAACAAATGGCCTTCAGACTTGAACTAGAGCTCTTCCCTGAGTCTACCCTCTGCCGATGTCCCCCATCAGGTTTTGAACTTGGTGAGCTTGCATCATCAGATGGGCCAGTCCCTGAAAATAAATCTCTCTCTGTAGATACACATTCCATTGGTTAGCTCTAACACTTGAGCTACCCAAACATTAAGCAGGGGACTCTCCCCACCTGTTCTTCTGGATCATCACCGTGCAGATGCGCCAGTGACTCCTCCCCTCAACTCTGCGCAGAGCCCTGACCGCAGCCCACGCCTTTGGAGACCGTCATCTGGTGCTGGGGGCTGAGGTATCTGGACTCACAGGAGGCAAGACGGAGGGTGGTGATTTCCAGGTGGGAGTGAGCCAGCGTCCCATGATTGGTAACCCCGAATGTTTTTATTTCAAAACTCATCAGATTTTGGTGTATGAATGCCCCCCTCCCATTTTTTGAAGGGGGGAAAAAAGAGCTCATCAATGTATTTTTTTTAAGTGCTCAAAGAAACAAAAGTGATCAGAAAGTACATTGGGGAAGGAGCCGTAATTCATTTCTGAGTTGACTCTATATACTTTAATGTTTGATTAAAATCTTTTGATTGTGGAGGGGTGGCAAACAGGGTCCAACTCTGAAACCGATGTCCAGCTGGAAAGGAAACCGGGATTGTCGCAGTTTGGCAGCTCAGCTCCCAGGCCAGGACAGGCGCACCCTGATGACGTCACAGCCAACCGCCCGCCCACGTCCGGGGCGCCTTTGTGCGTGAGGACTAGGCAGCACAGTAACAGGGCAAGGTGATGGGGTGCACAGTGATGTGCATCCTACGCGCTAGTTACACTGACAAAAATGGAAGTAGAGCATATCTGCACACCGGTCGAGTTTGGAAAAGCCGCCTACTGGTCTCCAAGTACACTCACCGATTCCTCTGCGGTGGGAGAACGCGGTTGCCAGATCATTCTGTACACGGTAACCAAAGACTAGAACAGCCATCGCAGGTGCCAGCGAAGGGAGAGTTGGGGCCTTACAGTTGCTACTGGTTTATAGGCAAGGGTTGGAAAATGAGGGCAATCTGGAGCTTTCCACATGAAGCCGAATCATTAGAATTCAGGCTGGTGTCCCCATAAACAGGGGATTGGGATACCAGGGGCGTGCACGCGTGCAGAGAAAAGACCATATGAGGACATGGTTGAGAAGATGGCCATCAGCAAGCCAAGGAAGGGCCTCCGCAGAAACCCAATTTCCTGACACCTTGATCTTGGACTCTTGGCTGCCAGCACTGTGAGAAATAAAGGTCTGTTGTTGAAGCCACCCAGTCTGGGGCATTCTGTTATGGCAGCCAAGCTAAAAAAAACCCACAAAAAAGCCACACACACATACACACAAAACACCAACCCCACAAAACAGTGTCCTTTGGAAGGCCTCATACGTCACGTGCACTTTTTTGTACAACTTTCCAGAGCCCACCAGGAGCCCACTGTGGCTTTGTGCACGCAGAACCTAACACTATCTTAAAGAGAAAGAGAGAAAAGCAGGCAGAGCAAAAATGCAGCAGGGAGCCTGTCATTATTTCGCTGGTCAGAACCTCAAATCCAAAACCGCAGGAGCTGGGACCCTTGGAGAACCGAGGGGGTTGGGGTCCTGCAGAGGTCCTGCCACCGTTTTCTGCCCCGTGGGCCTGGCAGAAGGTGCTCCACACATTCCAGCTCAGGTTTCCTACTAGGAAAATGGGCATCAGGCTCCCTCGCCTTCTGGGGACATCCTCCATATGTACCATACCCAGGAGGCAGATTCGGCCCTATGTTAGGATTAAATTGGCAACCCCCTCTCCCATGTTCACGGGCATCCTCAGGAGAGCAGCTGGGTCATTCCCAGCCTGGCTTGTTTAGCTTCAGAATGCACCAGGTGTTGGCAAGTCCAGCTCCGGGTCCCACGCAGCCTCTCTGAACACTGCCTTCCGCTTAGGTGGTACAGACATCTGTCTAGTGTTTGGATCTGAGGGTCTTGGACTGGATATATGGCCCGTGTGAGCAGGGACAGTATCCCCGGAGCCTGAAACAGTGCCTGGGAGTATGAACTCAGACCAGGAAAATTATGAAATTCTCATTATCAGAGTCACTTCTTTGGGTTAAGGCATTAAAGACCCCTGTTAAATGTTAGGGAGGGGCCATACAGATTAAGACTTCATCAGCCATTAACACCTCTTTGTGACTTATCAGCAGCCTCAGAGCCTCCTTAGTTCCCTAGGGCAATTGAGTTCATGTGGGAGAAGGGGAGGGATTCACAGTTGGGGGGGCTGAGCTGAGGGTGGAGAGCACAGATGGGGGTATTGTATGGAGGGAGGTGGGTGACAGAGAGAATACAAGATTTCACAAGGAACACTGCTTGACAGTTCTGAGCCAGCCAGACCTCTGTATCAGTCACCTTTTGGTCCGTGGTCCAGATCGTGAATGTGAGGGCCAGGCCAGCTGGCAAGCACACAAGTCCCACTGGGCCTGTGTAAGGAGCTTGGCGTCTCAGAGCTGGCCTTGGACTGAGCCATGAAGCTGGGTGTGCAGGGACCAATACACGGCTGCAACACCCACCTGTTCCAGGAAAGTGGGGAGTGGCTGGTGTGGCTGGCACTCAAAAGGTGGGGCTGCACCCATGCTCTCAGCCAATCTGCTTGCCCACTGGCTCCATTCTCCTGACACCACTGTGGGGCAGTTGGAGATACTGTGTGGGTGGGGGCCGGGGAAGCAGGGAAACAACTTGGGTCAAGTGACAACAGCTAAGCTTGGGGGAGGCTGGCCTGTCAGCCACACGCCTGGGCTCACAGGCCAGCGGGGGAGCTCTGGAGAAGCTGCCTGGCTGTCCAGTCCCAGGAGGCAGGCGGTGAGGCTCAGCAGGGGGAAGAGGACATCTGGTCATAGTCGGGGCACTTGAGCAGGGCTGGGTAGTTGCTGTTCATCTGCAGGGAGGCGTCGCTGGAGATGTCGGAGGGGCTGCGGCCCCGGACCCAGGCATCCGGGTGGAGGAACTGGCCTGAGTAATCAGAGCAGTTGCTCAGCCGTGGGCGGTAGAAGCCGGGGTGAGGCCTGTACATGTCCTCAGCGGTGTACCTCTTCATGAACAGGTACACGGACATCACCCCCGCACTCTGTGGAGAGGAGGGAGCAGAGGAGGCTCATGCTGGGGGCCTGGCCTTGCTCCCAGCAGGGGGACACAGTGATGAGAGCCACTGGGGGTGGGGGAGGGTGGCGACAGGGGCAGGGCCCTGGACCATCCTGGCCGGAGCAGCCGTGAGCAGGTAAACCGTGACATGTTCTGGGGACGAAGGGCAGTGGAGTGGTGGGTCCAGGGTGGGTGTAGCCTGCCTTCCTCGTCCGGCTGGGCCCGGGCATGCCCTGCTCCCCACCCAGCCTGCTGGAAGGGTTACCTCTGTTAAAAGGAAGGAGATGGCGGCGAAGGCAAACGACCAGCCGTACTTGTAGCTGAAGTAGGTCTCTGCGTCCTTGGTGCGGTTGAGCATCTCATCGTTGATGCTGGAGATGTAGAGCACCAGGCCGACCACGAGAGAGAGGCCTGGGGGGCGGGCAGCGGGGCTCAGAGGGGAGGCCCTGGAGTTTGCCGGTGGGACACACGCCTCCCCTCAGGGTTCAGGAAGAAAGCCCGGAGACAGGGCACTTATTCCGGGGTTCAGGGAGAGGAGGAGCTTGCTTCCTGAAGACCATGTTTAGACCATGACCTTCTGGAAAGCGTACATGTGCAGGTAAGAAAGCTCCCTGCCTCTGTTTCATTTGTCCATTTTTTGGGGTGGTGAACACACAATACTACATACAGATGATGTATTATGGAATTGTATCCCTGAAGCCTGCATAATTTCATTAGCCAATGACACCCCAATAAAGTCGATAAAAAAAAGCTCTCAGCCAGCCTCCTCTTGAACTGGTGGCTCTCACCCCTCTGCTGTCCGGAGTCACCTGTCGGATGTGGATGCCCACCCCCCTCCCGTGGACGTTCTGAGTCACCCGAGGACTGGGGTCCTGGCACGGTACTATCTTACAGCTCCCCCCGGTGACCCTGATGTGAACGATGGCGACAGCCACTGAGCTAGCAGGGGGCTTTTGCTAAACCGAGGAAGAAAACCGACTCCCACTGACAGAGGCAGCCAGGCCTCCAGCCCCCATCTCTCCGGCCACGGCGGGTAACATCGCTTCAGAGACGATCCGCTCCCGGTTTGAGCAGCAGCCCCCCACCCTTCGCCCGACCACTGGGTGTGGCCTGAGGAGGTCATCAGGCAGAGAGGGAAGGAGAATTTGTCCAGATTTTGGTAACTGTTCAGTCGGGGCGGGGGTGGGGGGCCCCGTGGGGGTCCAGAGTCCCACTGCCATTGTGCCAAATAAATGACAGCCTCAGGCACCGTCAATGAGTGACTGTAATTGAATCAGCACACAATTAATTACCCTGTTTTGAGCTGTTCAGGTTTAATTCCCTTCACATGATTAAACCAGGGCATCTTGAAGGATGAATGTTCAAGGAAAATCAGTGTGACTCCAGACTTCCCGGGCACTTAACTCACGCCTGCGTCTCTGCTGGTCCTGCGGACCCCGGGCCCCGCTCTCGTTAGAACCACTGAGTGCGGCCCAGTTAGACCTGAGGTTTCTGATCTGACTGCTGAAAAAATCTCAGGTGCCTCCCAGCCACTGTACAGCCTTGACTAAGGTCAGGTTCATAGCAGGAGGAAGAGGAGCTTCACCCTGGGTCCCCACCTCCTGGCCTGGGTGGAAACAGCACCATGCAGAGGGTGGGCTGAGGACACTGCAGGTGCCTGGGTCACTCACTCAGCTGGTCTGCGCCGGGGGCCGACCCACAGCCACGGCCAGGACTGCCCAGAGTGTGGCTGTTTGGGCGTTGAAAGTCCAGAGTGAACGAAAACCACAGACTTACCCGAGAGGATGAAGAAGATGCCAGAGACAAAGGCCAGTATTGTCCGGTGGGGACGGATGTGTCCGATGTTGCTCAGGATGAAGCCAATGAACATGAAGAAGAGACTGACGAGGGGGAAGGGTGTGGCTGAGCGAATCATTTCTAATTGAGGGGACAAGAAGACACCATTAGCCTCCACTTGCCTTACCCTCCTGAGTCAGGTGCTCCTGGAGGTGTCTGCCAGCTGGTGCCCATGGCCGCACTGTTCACAAACTCCCCAGCTCTGTCCCTTCCTTGGCTGGCCTGGGACCTCCCGGTGCTGCCAGAGCCTTTGTCCCTTCGCCCTTAGCTTGTGGAGTCTGTGCTCAGTGTCAGAACTGCATGGAAAGCTCACTTTAGGGGTCAGAACCAGCTCTGATGAGGCCAAGGCCACGGTCAGTCTTGCTGGGGGGCCAGAGGGCTCGATTCAGTTCTCCGAGTACTTCGGTCTGGATGTTTTTGTCCCCATCCCCCCTCCCAAATCCGTGTGTTGAAACCTACTCCCCAGTGGGATAGGATCAGAGGCAGGGACTTTGGGAGTTGCTAAGGTCAGGAGGGTGGAGCCCTCCTGCACGGGATTAGTGCCCTTATAAATGAGCCTCCAGGGAGCTCCCTCACCCTTCCACTGTACAGGACAGAGCACGAGGGCACCCACTATGAATCGGAAGACAGCTCTCGCCAGAATGTGACCATGCTAGAGCCTCAATCTTGGACTCCGAGTTCCCCGAATAAGGGAAGGACATTTCTGCTGTTTATGAGCTACCTGGTGTGGGGTATTTTGTTCTAGCAGCCCAAGCAGGTATGGATGCCCTCTCACTCGCCTGGGTCACAAGGCTGGGACATTCCAGCAACCTGTCACCATCTTGGGATAAGTAATGGATAGAGCGGGTTCCGGGCAGCTCGGTCCAGCATGGCCAGCTGAGCCCAAGGACATCAGCTCTTGGGAACCGAGCTGGTTGCCCTGCCTCTTCCCTCCGCCCTGCTCTGCTCTGCGGAGCCAGTGGCCCAGCGTGGAGCATCTGAGGCACCTACTCAGGACGTTGACCGTGGACTCGGACGTCAGCTGGGTGTTCATAGGCATCACGTATTCTATGGTGAAGCAGCGTCCCCGCTCCTCACCTACGAAGACAAGAATCATTTACCTTTCTGGGTTTCTCCGGAAGGTGAACTTGAAGTTATTCAAATTGTATCTTTAAATGCTTCTAGAATCTTTGACCCTCAGTGTATTCACGTCTGGACAAGCTCCAGACCCTGGGGGGTCCCGTCCCCCACGGCAGAGCTGGAGCACAGCCGGACGTCACGCCCTTCCTGAACCCAAGCTCCGAGAGGCGCATGAGAAGTGGCCAGATTGCAAACTCAGGCTGAGTAACATGACGGTGGCCGTCTTGCTGTTCGGGGACAGACTCAGTGCACGGCGGGCTTAGATTCCCTGGTGCGGGCATCACGGAGCAGAACCCCCAAAGCCTTGTCAACCACTTCGGAAGCCAGACGCTGGGGGCTTCCAACTCTGCCTGATGATTGCCACATGGTCCCAGGCAGTGAGGGGTGAGGTCAGGTCCCAAAACAGACGCAAGTCACCAGCAGGCCAGGCCTTGAGGTGTCCCCCTGTCGAATGCTGGTGGGCACCAGGTGGGCACTGGAAATATGGGGGACCACTGTCTAATCTATAGGACTGTCTAACCACTGTGCTGTACACCTGAAACTAATGCAAAATAATATTGAATGTAAACTGCAATGGAAGAATAAAGTTAAAAAAGAACAGAAAAGGAAAAAGAAGAGGTAAAAGGAGCGTGAGTGACCAAAGACTGAAGTTGGGGTCTCTGGCATGTCTGCAGACCATCAGGGTTGTGGGGGTGGGGGAGGTGGGGCTGCGGCTGCCACCTGGGAGACCACCCAGGCCCCGTTTGGAGGTGCCTGGGGGAGGGTGGGGACCACGAGGCAGAGACGGGAGGGATGACCCCGACCAGAGAGACCGGAGAGGAAAGGAGGAAACCACAGCCTCGCTGGGCGGGCCGCTCCCAGGAGGCCGGTCACAGCCGTGAGATGCAGACGGGCTGGTGGCTTCCCGAACTGGAAAACTGGTTAGAAAGGAAACAACAGGTGCTGGTTTCCACTGCATTCCAACTCTGTCCTTGCAGCGGCCCTTTCAGACAGAGTTAAATACAGGTGTAATGGCAGTCGGCGGCACTGCTCACCAGGGTGACAAATGCACACACACACCCGTGGGCACCAACCCCACGCCCACCTCCCAAAGCCCTGCCACGCAGCTGGGAGGACCCCCGGGCCCCTCTGCCCAGGGCACCCATAGGTTACAGGGCCCTCCAAAAAGTGCCCAGGGACCACCCTGTGGTGATTCCAGTCAGCCCAAATTTGTGGCCCATCTCGGGATGTGGAGACAGAGAAGCTCTTCTTGTACAGGCTGCTTGCGGCCTGATAGCGGGACAAAGGATAGTAGTGCGGCTCCGAGGCTTCCACAGCAGCAGGGGCCTCTGGAAGAACTAGCGCTGGCGGGAGGACTGGACAGGCGGCACCGGACCTGCCCACCTGGCGGGGTGGGAGCGACCTGCACCTGGGAGGCCTCCCCGCCACCCCCTGCACACAGACACAGAGAGGCTGCCAAGCCCCGCCCACCCTGCACACCAGTGGTACTGAGTCAGGGAGACGTCCTTCCCCTCCCCCAAGCCCCACTGCCTCGTTTGTAAGGTGGACGAACCCACAGTCCTGCCTTGCGGGGAGGTGGGGAGATCAGTGAAGCAGGGGGTTCAGGCATGGCAGGCGCGTGAGCCCTGTGCCTGTCAGCCGCCCTCCGCCTGCAGGTGGAGTGTAGGGGAGGTCGTGGTTTACACACGCCTCTCAGGTGGGCAGACCCAGGTCGCCAGCGATGAGAGCACTTGCTCAAATGGACGCTGCCCATCAGGACTCGAGTTTGGGGTGAGTCCCGGTTGCTGCAGGGGACACTGCCTCGGCTTCCAGAGGATTGTCTAGTAAACCGTACGGCACCTCCCCCAAGGGTGGGGGAGGGGCTCCTGGGCAGGTTTTCTGGGGTGGGGGTGGGGCTGCTCCTCTCTGGGCGGAGCTATCTACACCCTGGGTGTCCTTACCTGCGAGAAAGCAGACACGCCACAGGCCCGAGTGCAGGGACATCTTGATCTCCGTGCTCTGGTTCTGGGGCAGGACCACGCCCTCCTCCAGGTACAGCCAGTAGTCGGTGCTGACGGCGATGCCCAGGAGGCCCAGGCCGCACACGGCGAAGACGCTGCTCAGCAGGGTCAGGGCCTTCCTCCCGCAGGCGCTCATCTTCTCCACGGCTGAGTGGGGGCCGCGGCCCTGGTCCCGCCAGCAGGGGGCGAGCTCTGGGGGTGGGAACAAGTAGCGGCTGTACCTCTGAGGAGGCCAAGGTGAGGGGCCTGGGGGAGGTAACTAAGGTGAACTCCCCCTGGCTAAACCGATGTGTAAAGAGCAACAGGCCGGCTCCCTGGAGGCCAGGCCGCTGGGCTGAGGTGCACTCTCTTCTTCCTGCCAGGAACTCACAGCTTTCTTGCCAGGCTACTGCAAGGGGCCAGCTTGTCCTCTGTGGGAATCTCCCTTGATGGATAATGCTATCCATCCATCCATCCATCCATCCATCCCTCCACCCAGCAGTCCCCTGTGCCCAACACGGGAGATAAAAAGACAAACCCTGAACGTGATACTATCCTCACTCTTGAAAGCTTCCCACCTAGAAGGACAAAGGCTCCCACAAAGCAGTTAAAATGCAGCTTCCAGGAGGCTGTGCTAGAGATCTGCCCAAGAGCTCTGAAGCAGGGAGGAGGGCTGGAGGTGTAAGCTCTGCCCGAGGGCTTCTCTGTGTGGAGAAGGACTCTGAGGGTCAAGTGCACCCTGGCAGAGAGCTGTAGCAGCCAGGAGGGGAAGTGGCGGCAGCCTTGGGAAGAGGCAGAGGGTGAGAAGGCTTCCTGGGAAGGTGTCTTCTTGGGAAGCACTTCGATCAGTGCAGTTCTAGGTCAACAGAAGTGAAGAAGCCACACCACACAGTCTGAGCTCAATGGACTTCCTAAACCCACCTAATCAGAGACCGACTCTTGCCTTGGCAGGAGCTGGCTCCGAACCAGCCACAGAGGAGCTAAGAGTCCCTTCAGGCCTGCCTGCTGACACCTGCCAGGGCCAGGCACTGGGCTGGGAGCTGGGGAGCCCTGAGGGGTAAGGCCGGGGGACACTGACCCCCACGGAGCCCAGAGCCCAGCTCAGGGCCCTGACCACTGGCTGCCATGTGGCGTCACCCAGGGTTTGCCCAGCCATCCCCGCTGCCTGGGCATCGCTCTGAGAGATCCTGGTGCAGCTGGGCTCGGTGTTTTTCAAGTGCCCCCAGTGATTCTAATGCGCAGCCCAAGTTGAGAGGGACTGGACTTTGCTACTCAAAGTGTGAACCACAGACCAGCCACATCCCCTGGGAGCTTGTTAGAAATGCGGATGCTTCAGCTCTCCCAACTTTGTCCATCAGAATCCGCATTGCAATGAGATCCAGGTGAGTTGTGTATCTGCTGAAGTCTGCGAAGAACTGGGTCAAACAGGTGACAGGGAAGCCCAGGATGTGATGAGAGCCCAGAAGAGGGTCACCATGGGGGGCTCGAGGGGTCAGGCAGAGCCCACTCCAGAGAGGGTGGGCCTGGGCAACTCAGCGTGCCTTACCTAAGCCAGTCGTGCTCACGATGGTGCCAAGTGTGAACCCTGTGCAGTAGTGCAAAGCCAGAAATGCTAAAACGGTGTGAATGTTCACACAAGTGTCAGGCATCGCAGCACCTGTGGTGAGGGGGGAATGCCACCCGGCGGTGACCCAGGGCCCTACTCAGGGCATGGCCTCATGTCTCAGTGGGTTCACCTGCAGGGTCTGAGCTGGCTGGAGGAGGGGAGAAAGGGAAGGGGAGGTAAATGGGTGCTCTTTGCAGGAAGCGGGGGACGTCCGGCACTGAGTCCACAGCACTGGCCCTGCCCTATCGGCTGACCACAGGAGGGCTGACTGACCTGTAGAAGGAGCCCCAGCCGGCTCCCTGGAGCTGGGTGTGAGCCCATGGAAACCGATGCACTCTGTCCGCCAGGCCAAGAGCAGTGGGGTTTAACCCAGGCCGCTCCTTCCTGAACCAGCTTTGACAAAGAAGGAAAAATGAAATGCAAAACAGCCAGCCCTCCCCACCTAGCCAAGTCCCTCTCCACACGGTGGGGTGGGGGGCGGAGCTGGCTGGCTAGGCTCCCAACTGGGTTGCAGGTATGTCACGGAGCACCTACTTTGTGTGGAGTCCCGTGCTCACTGCCACAGGGGAGGCAATGGCATCAGAGGCACTGTGTGCAGAGTTCACCAGCCGGGAAAGGGGGACACAACAGCATCAGGGCGGTCACAATGGGGCGGGACCCACCTGGCAGGTGGACCTCGGTGGGGGAGGGGCCCTGGAGACTGCTGCATGGATCGGTGGGTTGGGCAGTGACGTGGGAAATGATAATTAAGGTTTTCATTGATGGTTGGCTAAGTACATTCGCTTACATTTGAAGCTCCCAGGGCCCCCATATCTTCCAAAGAGAATGGGATTAGAACCCAAGGACAGTTGCTGGAGGGAAGGGAAGGAGAATACAAGGGTGAGATGCCTGGATGAGAACAGAGCCCCACAAGCTGCAAAGAGCCTTGAGAGGCAGGAAACCAGGGCCGCAACCTGGTCACTAAATCTCTGTGTAAGACCGGAAAATCGACCCTTCTGGGGCCCGTTTTTCTCTTGGGTAACCCAGAGGAAGGGAACAATAAAAGTACCGTCTACTGAAGCTTTAGCATGACCATGAGGCATTTGCTAAGCACTTTACCATCTGTTTTAATTCTCCCAACTCTACCACCGCCTCCCTGCACAGGCGAGCACACTGAGGATCAGAGAAGTTAAGAAACTCACCCAAGGTCACTCAGCTGGCGGGTGGAGGTGCCCACATTTGAACTTCACCCTGCCTCATTCTCAAGACACTTCCTGTGCCACCCCTACAAGTGTCTTCCAAAGTGGGGTCCCACACAGCAAAATTGCCTTGGAATATTCTAGCAAAAAAGACTCCATTGAAAAAAAGCCTTGACAAGCGCTGCATGTAGGTCTTGAAGAATCCCACTGCACACGCACACGTTAAGGCCTCGGAGATCTAAGCCCACCGTGCACTGAATCTGACCCCAAACCTCATGCATTCCAGGGCTTTGCCTACATATCTGTCCATGCAACCGTGCCTCGCTCTGAGACAGCCACGCTGGGGACAAGGCTGCCCAGAACAACCAGGCCTGCCCTGCTCACCCCCCAGAACGGCCGGGAGATTAAACATGACAGGGCTTTGAAAAATCCGAGGCACCGTCCTGGTGTAAGGAATTATTCTTAAGCACCGATGGGCAAATAAGCCCCTGTGCTTGTAAGGCAGATGGATCAGGGCTTCTGAAATACGACAGCCGGTGCGGCCGGAGCCGAACAGCCCATTTCAACGATAAGCTTGTCAGCGAGCGAGACAAAGAAAGGGTCTGGGCCTTGGAGGCTCGAAAAGATGAAGGTGGAGAGCAGACTGGATCTGAATCTATAAACGCGAGAAGCAGAAGAAGAGGCCGAGGCTGGCCTGGCCCGCGGAACTCTGCGGCAGCACAGCCTGAAGGGGGAGTGAGCGTGGGAAGAGGAGGCGTCCCCTTCCAGAGCAGGAGACAAGCTCGCGGGCTCTGCACAGAGCAAAAACAACAGTCCTGTTCATGACACAAGACTAGTTGTGCTTCCATCATGAAAGCGTTCTTATCTACAAATAAACGGCAGCATCAGGACCTCACAACTACCCTCTCTGTGGGGAGCATTAGCCCCATTTTGTGGATGGGGAAACTGAGGCTCCGGGATGTTAGGTGAGCCTGCAGGACGTCCTGGCTGGGGGCCAGCCTCTGGATTTAGACCTCGGTCCGATCCCGAGTCCATGCTCTGGCTGCACCGTCTCCCTACTGAGGACATAGACCCTTCTGGAGTGTTGGGGTGAAGAGACACATCCAAAGTGGGCCACTAGGACATCTAGAGACGTATGTGACACAATACTTGGAAGATGGTCTTTGTAAAGGGCCACGTCACCTAAGGGCCATTGGCTGATCCTACCGGGCTCGCTCTCGGCAGCCCCCGGCTGACCCTCCTCTGCCATTTCTGGGAGGTGCTCTCCGACTTGGCATTTCTGATTCCGAAAACACCCTGTAGGGTGAAGGACTGATGTTTCTCTCAAACCACACGTAGGAAAGTCAAGGTCCAGAGGGGAGGGATACCTGAGGCCGCCCAGCCAGGCCCCTGGAGGGACCAAAGTGTGAACTGGTAGTTTTTTGAACACTGATTCAATGCTTTTCCCCCTGTGCCGCATGGAAAATTGTGAGGCAGCAGATGGAAATTACCTGTGCTGCCCCATTCTGAAAACGATTAACTTGCATCTTAGTTCATTGCCTTTGCCTTTCTTTTGACATCACTGCCTATGTTTGCACCCGATGTCGTCTGGCAGTGGCAGCAGGAATGGGGGTCCCGCTGGAGACACTGGTCTGGGTGAAGTCCTGGTTCCCACACCATCAGGCTTTTGTCCAAGTCCTTGCTCACACACGACCGTCTCTCCTTCCACGAAGCCTGTCCTTCACCCACAAGGTTCATTCGATCTTTCCGATGGGGAAGGCGGACGCTTTTTATGAGCCGCTGCCCCGAAGAGATGCTTGTCCCCTAATGTTACACAAATAAAGCTGGATGCGAAACCACGTCTTCCAAGAATTCAACTGTCGAAAAAAATTCACAGGCTGGGAAGAAGTAAACCAAAATGTGGATGGTGGGTGTTTCCAGGTAATAAAGTTATGGATATTCGATTTTCTTTATCACTTTCCTGTGCTCAACAAAGCTTCTAAAGAAACATGGATTATTTTTATATCCAAAGTAGAGAACAGACATAAAGACTAGAGTGGTCCATTCTCCAACTGCTGCCCTCGTGTGCAGGGTCCCCGCGAACTCCTGGGCTAGAGATGCTGAAATGCAGGGTTACCCTCTGGGGCTCGGGGCCCAGACATGGAAGTCTGGCAGCTTCAAGATGATTACCTGGGTGCCATTACCTCTAAGCATTAGCTTGTTAATTATCAGGCATTAACAGTTGCTAATTATCATCCCATGACTAGCAATTAGGGAGAAATGTCTTGTGGAGAATCAAATCACTAATGGAACATCTCCCTGCTCAAGCCAATAATAAAAGAACTTGGAATGGCGTGCTTAGGGCTCAGACACAGGTGAGGGCACAGGTGAGCGTGGGAGCCCAGGTAGAGGACTGGACGGTAGTTTAACAGGAGGGAAAGAGAGGGAGG